TTTTGGTGGTGCTAAGGACCAAGGGCCTTGCCCTTGCTATGCAAGCATTCTCCCACTGAGAAAAATCCCAACCTCTAGAATATTATTTTTGTGCTTTTCCTGAGGCATGAACTCATGGCCTAGGTCATGTCCTTCAGCTTTAAATCTCTCTCTCTCTCTCTCTCTCTCTCTCTCTACCTACCTACCTACCTACCTATATTTTATTATTGTTGGTGGTAGTCGTGGGGTCTGAGCACTGTCCCTGAGCTTCTGCTCAAGGCTAGCATCCTACCATTTGATCTATAGTGTCACTTCCTGCTTTTTCTCAGTAGTTTATTAGACATAGGAGTCTTATGAACTTTCCTGCCCAGGCTCACTGTGAAATGCAGTCCTCAGATCTCAGCCTCCTGAGTAGCTAGGATTACAGGTATGAGCCATTAGCATCTAGCTAGGAGTATATTTCTTTTTTCCTCTTCCTTTGCTTTCCTTCAGTTTCCTCTCCCTGAGCTTTTCTGCTCAAAACCAGCACTCTACCACTTGAGCTCCACCTTCAGCTTTTTTTTTTAGTAGTTAATTGGAGACAGGAGTCTCATGGACTTTCCCTTCAGGACTAGCTTTGATCCTCAGGTCTCAGCCTTCTGAGTAGCTACAATTACAGGTTTGAGCTACCAGCTCCAGGCCCAGGATCTTTTTTTACTGTGCCAGTCCTAGGGCTTGAACTCAGTCCCTGAACTTTTTGTTCAAGACTTATGCTCTACCACTTGAGCCCATAGCTCCATTTACATTTATTTACGGTCGTGGGGCTTGAACTCTGGGCCTGAGGGCTGTCCCTCAGCTCAAGATGAGCGCTCTACCACTTGAGCCACAGCGCCACTTCCGGTTTTGAGTGTTTATTGGAGATAAGAGTTTTATGGACTTTTAATGACTGGGCTTTGAACCATGATCCTCAGATCTCAGCCTCCTGAGTAGCTAGGATTACAGGTGTGATAAAACTTATTTTCAACTTCCTTTCCTATGAATATTTTAATATTGAAAGCTAGTCTAAGTCCCTGTAGAAGTGTAAAGAAAGTATGTTTCTGAAAAGTATTAAGTAAAAATAAGAAATTTAAACAGTTTATAATACAAGCACATATATTTGATTGCACTCATTCATTTATGTAATTATTACATTAGTTGTGAAGTTAAAAAAAAGCCTAGCGTAAAGTAAAAATTTTTTCAAAATGTTACTGTTTTCTGTTAGTGGAAATTGTGAGTACATAATATGAATTTCAGGCAGATTTCATATTCAAATACATTACACTACCAAATTCTGTGTTCAGATGTTCACTCACTTTGTTTTTTGTTTTAGTGAGGATCAAATACAGGGACTGTGTTTTAGGGAAGCACTGCACTGCTGAGCTCCACCGCTGCCCACCCCATATCTCTGGTTTCAGATTTGTGTTCATTCAGGTCTGCAGTTGATAGCATGGACACAGACCTTTTGGCTGTGAAGACACATTTGAATTGAAAACCTGGGTTATAAGTAGAAAGGCACCTGTTCTTCACAATAGCAAGGATATGTTTCCCTTCAGTTCTTAGCTGTTTTCTCTTTTGGATGTAGGTTCAGAATGAGCACTTGTTGCTGGTGCACACCGGGTGGCATTTCCACCCTTGATTTCCTAAAGAGCTATGCCTCCAGGACCCTCTCTGGAGAATTCCACACAGCTGACGAAGACCTCTGCTACTGCTTAGAATGTGTGGCTGAATACCACAAAGCAAGAGAAGAATTGCCTTTCTTACATGAGGTAAATAACATTAGATAGGCATTATTTTTCATAGATTGCTAAGAAAAGAATGTTTGAACTCTGTTAGAAACGTTCAGAGAAATACATTTCTAACTAATTGTTGGTTTATGTAGGTGCTGAGTAAACACTTATCCCTGATAGAAATAAATTAAAATCTAAAGCAGAATTTACAGTCAGTTTTATTAATTTCAATATAAAATGATTTTATGAAATGCAGCCATTCCCAATACTTGGGAGGTGAGGGCATGAGGATTTTAAGTTTAAGGCTAGCTAGGCTACAAAGTATGACCCTATCTCAAAAAGAGAGAAAAAAAACAGAAATTAAGTTGGATGGGGGTATTTTTAGTTTTATCTGTTTATGACAGTATCAGTACTTTCAGTGGGGTTTTGTTTGCTTGCTTTTGGTTTTGTGCCACTGCTAGGGCTTGAACTCGGTGCTTGGAAGCTCTCCCTTAGCTTTGTTGCTCAAGACTAGTGCTTTATCACTTGCCTTTAGTTTTTTTTAAAGTAATGACTTTTTAATGGTAAGTAGTTAGAAAACTGAGGATAACCATATCTACTTTGTTACATTTATCTAATAAAACAAACACAGACTACAGAGGTGTATACAGTATATGGAGGTGAGGATGAGTAGTTAGTTATGAACATGTCTAAAATCTTGCATTATATAAAATTTCTACTTGTGAAGCTACTCATTATCATTGAAGTTAGTGTTCTAAGGTAGGCACCTGTCTGGTTTTCCTGCCTTGGCTAGCTCCAAACTTCAGTCCTCCAGCTCTCAGACTTCTGAGTATTATAGGTATGACTTATTAGCTAATACAGACAGCTATACTCTGTTTGCCTCTTTACTTTATTGTGCACTATAAATGCTTTATTTTGTACAAACTGAAAGCTTGGGTGTCCTGCTTAGAGTGAGTCTGTCAGTGCACTTTCCCAGAAACTTGTATTCTGTTTGTGTCTTTTTCACAATTTGGTGATTTTCGTATTTCTGACTTTTTAACTATTATTGTTAATGTTATGGTGATCAGTGATCTTTAATGCTGCTATTATAATTGTTTGGGGGGTACCATGAGCCCAGGTTTACTGTTCAGTAAATGCTATGTGTTCTGACTGCTTTATTGATTACCCATTCGTTTTTCTCTTTCCTCAGGCCTCTGTAGTCTGGAAACATACCAGTATTGAAATTAGGCCAATTAGTAACCCTAGAGTAGTCTCTTTAAGCAAGAGTCACACATCCTATGCTTTAAAGTCACAGATGATTAAGCTTAGTGAGGAAAGCAACTTAAAGGCTAAGGTAGGAGCTGGGCACTGGTGGCTCACACTGGTGGCTAACTACTCAGGAGGCTGAGATCTAAGGATTGTGGTTCAAAGCCAGCTTGCACAGAAAAGTCCCCATGAGACACATATCTCCAATTAACCTCTCAAAAATGAAGTGGAGCTGTGGCTCAAGTAGTAGAGTGCTAGCTTTGAGCACAAGGAGGCTTTTGGACAGTGCCCAAACCCTGGTTCAAGCCCTGCAACCGACAAAACAAAGCAACAACAACAAAAAGAAAAAACAGGCTAAGGTAGGCTGAAAGTTAGGCCTTTTGTGCAGAATAGCCATAGTGCTCCTGTAGCAGCTTCCCAAACTATGGAGAAGATCTGACTAAGATAATTGATGAAGGTAACTGTAGCAAACAGCAGATTTTCCATGTAGAAGACACAGTTTACATCTGGAGAAGATGCCATCTAGGACTTAAATGTCTGGACAGGCGAAGTCAGTACTTGGCTTCAAAAAAGGCAGGTCATGCTGGGTGCCAGAGGCTCATGCCTCCTAGCTAATATTTGAGGATTTGGGTCCTGCCCTGGATTGAGCCTGGGCAGGAAAGACTATGAGACTCTTATCTCCAATAAACCACTCAGAAAACTGGAAGTGGTGCTGTGGCTCAAGTGGTAGAGCACTAGCCTTGAGCTGAGAGCTGAGGGACAGCATCCAGGCCCAGAGTTCAAGCCCCATGACAGACAAAGAAAAAAAAAAAAGGCAGGTCAACCCAATTAGGGGCTAATGTAGTTGCTGATTTTTTTTGTTTTGTTTTGTTTTTTTGGTTTTTGTCGGTCGTGGGGCCTGAACTCTGGGCTTGGGCGCTATCCCGGTGCTCTTCAGCTCAAGGTGAGCGCTGTACAGCTTGACCCACAGCACCACTTCCAGTTGCTGATTTTTTTAAGTTGAAGTCAAGTGTTCATTTACCATTTTGAATATCCTAGGGTGCCAAAGAATTACACAGATTCTGCTCTGCCTGTGCTCTATAAAGGGACTGTTCTATAAATAACAAAATCTGGAAGATAGCATGTTTGTTTACACCAAGCTTTACTGGATATATTAAGCCCACTATTGAGACCTGCTATTCCATGAAAAGAATTCCTTTTTAAATGTTCGTATTGATCGACAGTGTACCTGGCCACTAGGAGCAAGATGGGGATGGAATAAGGCTGATGGTGTCTGTCATTAGTGCTTCCTAACGCACATCCATTCTGCCTGTGGGGCAAAAAGCAGTTTAGAATTGGATGTTGTATAGATTCATAAAACTGTAGCTGCCACAGTCATTCCTCCATATCTGGGCTAAATAAATTGAAAACCTGGAAAGAATTGACACTTTAGATACCATTAAAAAATATTTGTGGAAGTGGCGCTGTGGCTCAAGTGGTAGAGCGCTCGCCTTGAGCTGAAGAGTGCAGAGCGCCTAAGCCCAGAGTTCAAGCCCCACGACTGACCAAAAAAAAAATCTAAAAAACATTTGTGCCGGGCGCTGGTGGCTCACGTCTATATAATCCTAGCTACTCAGAAGGCTGAGATCTGAGGATCACATTTCAAAACCAGCCCAGGCAGTAAAGTCCGAGACTCTTAATCTCCAATAAGCCACTAGAAAACCAGAAGTGGCACTGTAGCTCAAGTGGTAGAGTGCTCACCTTGAGCTGAAGAGCACAGGGACAGTGCCCAGGCCCAGAGTTTAAGTCCCATGACCGACCAAAAAAACAAACATTTGTAGCTGGGTACCAGTGGCTCACATCTAGCTACTCAGGAGGCTGAGTGAGGTCTGCAGTCTTGGATTGGAGCCAACCTGAAACAGTCTTTAAAACTCTGCACACGTATGTGTGTTGGGGCTTGAACTCAAGGCCCCACTCTCCTTTAGCTTTATAAAAGCTCAAGACTGGCTGGCACTCTACCACTTGAGCCATACGTATATTTTCATAAATCCTTGAAACTCATTACAGTTGAGCAAAAAGGAGGGTTCTGGAAACAAGGCTTTGCTGTCCTGGTGAAGATGCCTGAACATTGTCAAAAATGACAACAAAGAATTTAGATGTAATCTCAGTTTATGTCTCTCAAACTCAGCAGATGAAGTGGTGGCAGGATTTGAGAGAACGGACTCCAGTTCAAAAGGTCTGTGGTGACGTGGCACCATGGTGTAGACAGTCTCACTGTAGTTTTTAGTGAGAGGGATAATCAGTGTGGCTAATTACATCCCATCCCACAGTAGTCAAGTCCTTCCAGAGTCATAGCTCATTAACTTTTTTTTTTTTTTTGGTCATTTGTGGGGCTTGAACTCTGCCCCTCAGCTCTTCAGCTCAAGGCTAGCACTCTGTCGCTTGAGCAACAGCGTCACTTCTGGCTTTCTGGTGGTTAATTGGAGATAAGAGTCTCATGGACATTCCTGCTGGGGCTGGCTTTGAACCGCAATCCTCAGATCTCAGCCTCCTGAGTAGCAGCTCCTGGCTTACTGACTTTTTTAAAGCTGGTTCTAGGGCTTGAACTCAGATTCTAGGCACTGTTCCTGAGCTCTTTTACTCAAAGCTGGTGCTCTACTAGTTGAGCCACAATTTCACTTCTAGCTTTTTGGTGGATTATTTGACATAAGAGTCTCATGGACTTTCCTGTACTCTCCCAGTTTTTCTCTCCTATCCCCACCCACAAGTTGTGTAGTTCATTTTCAACATAGTGTCTAGTGCCTGAAGTTTTAAATTAAGATATATATAGCCAGGTGCTGGTGGCTTGTGTCTGTAATCCTAACTACTCAGGAAGCTGAGATCTGAGGATTGTGGTTCAAAACCATCCCAGGCAGGAAGTCCATGAAACTCTTATCTCCAATTAACCACCAGAAAACCAGAAGTGGTGCTGTGGCTCAAGTGGTAGAGTACTTGCCTGGAGCTGAAGAGCTGAGGGACAGTGCCCAGACCCAGAGTTCAAGCCCCACGACAAATTCCCCCCCACCAAAAAAAAGGATATATATATATTCTTGAGAAGTACTGTTACTTAATAGGCTGTATGTGGTATAAAAGCTTACGCACACAGGAAAACAAAAGTTCAGGGAAAATGTTTTCCAAAATGATATCACAGCTAATATATTTTGTTGATAAGATATAAACCATGCTGCTCATTTTTTTTCTCTCTAGGTTTTATGGGAATTAGAAACCCTACGTCTCATAACTCACTTTGAAAAATCTATGAAAGCAGAACTTGCAGATGATGATGATGATGAGTTATATATAGTAGACAGCAATGGAGAGGCACAGCTGTTTGACTTTACTGGCCAAGACTTTGAGAATAAGCTTCGCGTTCCTCTGCTTGAGATACTGAAATACCCTTACCTGCTTCTACACGAGCGTGTCAGTGAGTATCGTAGGCTTGCACTGAGGCCCCTGTATGTGGTATGAGGTGCTTGACCGCTTAAGCCACCTGCCCCTCCGTTTTGTTAATTTAAAATTTGGAAGCAAGGATGTGGTAGCATAGTGGGAGAGTGCTTATTTAGCCTCTGTGAGGCCCAAGATCATCCAGTCCCCACTATAAACCACGAATCTTACATTTGAGGCTTATTGGTAATAAAAATTTATTTGCTAAATGTATAACTAGAATACTTAATATTTCCCTCAACCTCTTATTATGAAAGTTTTCAAATAGTGAATAGCATGTAACCTTCCATGGATTCTGCAATTTGCTATATTTGCATTATCATGTATCTTTTATGGCAGTTTTTTTTTTTTTGGTCTGGTCGTGGGGCCTGAACTCTGGGCCTAGGCGCTGTCCCTCAGCTCTTCAGCTCAAGGCTAGCACTCTGCCACTTGAGCCACAATGCCACTTCCAGCTTTTTTCTTTTTGCTTATGTGGTGCTGAGGAATTGAACCCAGGGCTTCATGCATGCAAGGCAAGTGCTCTACCACTGAGCCACCTTCCCAGCCCCTGTCCTTTTTTTTTTAAGTGATGCTGAGATTTGAACTCAGGCCTTACTCTACCACTTGAGCTATCTGCTAGCCCTAGGTAATTCTTGGTTGTTAGGGGACTGCAGTTCATTAGGGGATATTGAGTGGCATCTCCAGCCTCTCTTTATCCAATGTCAGTAGCATCCTCCAACCTGCCTGCCACTGGGACAACCCAGAATGTTTTTAGACATTGCTGGGTGTCCTGTAGGAAGAGGACAAGGACACAGGACACCTGATTGAGAGCCACTGGTTTGTAGTGATGTTCACCAATCACCAGTCAGTGGTGATTGTGGCTGTCTAGATTTGGTTTTTATCTTATATCTATATGGTTTATATCTTATATTTGCAGTTCTTAATATGAATCTCTCAAAAGTAAAGATATAGCTGGGCACTGGTGGCTCACACCTGTAATCCTAGCT